CTTAGTAAATAACCAATATGCAAATACGCTGAGTCATCCAAAGCCACATGGCAGGTTGACCAAGCACCAACAACGCCTCCCTCCCAAGCTGACGGAGACATTTGGAACTAGGCCTATATAATATTAAATGTAATCTAGCGAATTAATATAGACGCGATTCATGAAGTTAAGGGACTTTTATTAAATTTTAAAATTATTATAGATCGTTTCTCAGTCTAAATATGTTACGTGTGTCCCAACGAAGCTATTAGTTATGCGGAAAATATGTCACTAGGCCAGGCTAACGCCTTGGGGAGACGCATTGGTTAGGCCTCCGTCCAGGAAAAACGATCAAGTGGTCTGGTCTCCTTGCACATACGCCATTCAGTTTGCAAGTAAGTGTTATTCGATCTCAGACAGGGTAGACGGGGCCAAGAAGAAGTTAATAATAGCTAACAGACAGTTTATTGCAGGGCTTCTCAAGAACCCACTCGATTGACGATTGACGCGATTGAAGTGGTTTGAGCAGGGTCGGAATGATCGGAGCGGCTTTGTCACTGGTTAGCGAGGTTTTAGCTGGGACTTCCCGAAGTGAACGAGTGCCCCTGACGGCTAACTACGTGGGACCAGCACCCGCCCTTGGTTGATGATCGCTCTGGGTCACCAAATCTCCCCCACCATGGTTCACAACACCACATATCTCTAGTCAGTTTAGTGAAAAACTCTTACTAACGGGAAAATGGAACCCCCCTCAATTGGACAGGGTACACTAGCTGACAGTCGCTCTCTTCCGGTTCATGAATGTACTGAGTGTAAAACTGAGGCAGATGAGTGAATGAACAGTACAACACTAAGACCAGGAGTCTAGTGGGTACTTAGAGACATTTTACCTCCCCAGTATGGGTGTGCTCTGAGCTTATGTGTGATGCATGTTACGGGAAATGGCGGTAAGGTGTGTTTAGTATTAACCAAGTCCAGGTGTGGAAACAACGCTCTTTATGGTTGATTTTTACACGTGAGATATAAGAGTTCCTCTCCAAAGTTGTAAAGGGCTTGTAGTGCCTTAAAAATACGGGTGCATTCGGAACCTATGTGTGACGCATGTTTACGGGTATTGGTGGAGAAAAACATTCATGATTTCTGAAATCTAGAGGAATTACTGACGAAAACAGCAGAGCATCCGCCTGCCTGATGGGTCATGAGTTATTTTCTTGGGTTTCTTGTAAATGCCGGCCTCCTTGGCAGGCTAGTAGTTACACCTTTTCGGGTTATCGAACATTTATGGTTGTAGTAGTTTGTGGGTCATCCCAGACAGGCTATGATTGATCCATGTGTGTAGTATTTATTTCTCAATATTTTTTTCATACTATTTATCAGTGACTTATATTATCTTGTTGTTTGTGGTTAATGCTCCTTAATATTTTTTATACTATTTCTCAGTGACTGATATTATTTTGTTGAATGCCCTTAAGGGCTGTTCATGGTGGAGTTAATAACTCCTTAATATTTTTTATACTATTTCTCAGTGACTGATATTATTTTGTTGAATGCCCTTAAGGCCTCTTCATGGTGGAGTCAATAATTTCTTCATACTTTGGTTACTATTTCTCAGTGACTGATATTATTTTGTTGAAAGCCGTTAAGGCATTGTTCATTTATTTCTTAGTAATTTTGATACTATTGTTCTTCTAATGCTTATGTGCCACTAAGGGATGTGAGATAACGAGGGAACTGTTTTCAGATGAGCTCCTCATTCTGGTGTAAGTAGCACTGTTACCTTAGTAGTTTCTCAAAGGGCATTTAATATTTCTACATAATTTTGATGTCATGTATAACCTTTGTTCCCCAGTGTAGTGTTTAAAGCCATGCTAAAAGGTGCGCAAATGTTTTTGTAACATTATTGATTGTGTTTGTAGTGTTGGAGGGAATAAAAGTGTCAAATTTTAGTGCATCTCATTCACCCCAATTAAATGTGCTATCTTTCCACGGGCCACAGAGAATATTTTTTTTTAATTATTTGTGTTTGTGTTGGTTCGTGTTTTTCTCAAAGGGGCGCTTCCACTGCATTACCATCCACAATACTCAAAAACCCCAACTATTTAAGTGAGACAATTCCCGATCGGTTACAACTGGTAGCAGAGTGTCGTTTTTTATTTCGTGACTGATAGTTCTGTGGTTGGGTTAATGAACGCCATCATGTGTTGGCTGGTAATGGTAGGGATTGAACTCGCACTGATGCTCATCCTTGTGCCCAGATTTAGTTGGTTGGGCTTGACAGTAGAAATGTGTATGAGGAGGAAGAGAGACAGTCATGAGACCGTGCAACAGCTGAGAGAGGATTTCGGGGACCTAAAGAGGGATTATCAGGCACGGGTGAACAGGTTCAAGTGGGAGTTTCAAGCACACATTCAACGGTTCAGGGAGGAAACAAGGGGGAAACGTCAGGCACACATCCAGCAGTCAAGGGAGGAATTAAGCGGGGAAAATCAGGCCCAAGTGGGAAAATAGAGGGGGAACACCGATAACACCTAGCTCAGAGGGGAGACGCACCATACAGGGTAGAAACACTAACAAACACAGCAGGAAAAGAGACCATGGGCGGAGTGAGGAAACACCATGTTAGTTTCGGGGTCACGTTGACCATTTCTAAATTTGAGAGTAAAGCAGGGCCAGAGGTACGTAAGTACTTCAGAGAGGTCGATCGAGCCCTCAAGGTTAGAGACGAAGACGAAACCGACCGATCACAGTTCAGGTGTGCATGGTAACGAGAAAACGCAGGTTGCTGAGGGTGAGTTGGAGGAGTCATGAGTAGGGCAGAAAGAATTGGAGAGATGACTATGTCAGAAATGTGCGTTGGATTGTGGTTGCTGTCATGAGCGGGATTGTGTGTACGGTTTTAATGGACAGGGCCTCACTAATATGGACTGGTGTATTGTCAGAGGGTTGGTCTGCCGGCATGAGGTTCGGAGGCGTGGAATGAGTCAATCGTCGTAGTGACCGGAAACACAGACGTAAGAGCACTCGATTTGGATTGAGTATTATTTTTGACACTGGTTTCTCTAAGCTCAAGGACCAGGCAAAAGGAGAGCATGATTGTTCTGAGTTGGTATTATTTTTGACATTGGTTCTCTAGTTCAAGGACCAGGCAAAAGGGGAGCGTGGTTGTTTTGAGTGGGTATTATTTTTTACATTGGTTCTCTAGCTCAAGGACTGGGCAAAAAGCGGAGTTTGCTGCTTGTGAGTTGGAATCGTGCAGATTTGTTGGTGGCTCTAAGTTGTTCTCTCAGCACATGAGGACAGTGCTGTCTTCTTTTAGGGGGGGGGGGTCGAGTGTCAGCGGGAGAGAGATGGGAGGCCGGAAGTTGGAGGACGGAAATGCTGTTTTTAGCATGTTGAAGGTGTGAGATGCAGTTATCAGAACAGGTCTCCTCTAGGGAGGGTCGTATGCATACTTTTTTCTCAGCACATGAGAACAGTGCTGTCTTTAATAGGGGGGTTCGATTGTAACATTCAGAAATTTCGGTGTGATATTTAGAGACGTTAGTACATAAATAACCGATATGCCAATACGCTGAGTCATCCAAAGCCACGTGGCAGGTTGGCCAAGCACCAACAACGCCTCCCTCCCTAGCGGACGGAGACATTTGGAACTAGGCCTATATAATATTAAATGTAATCTAGCGAATTAATATGGACGCTATTCATGAAGTTAAGGGACTGTTATTAAATTTTAAAATTATTATAGATCGTTTCTCAGTCTAAATATGTTACGTGTGTCCCAACGAAGCTATTAGTTATGCGGGAAAATATGTCACTAGGCCAAGCTAACGCCTTGGGGAGACGCGTTGGTTAGGCATCAGTCACGCGAAAGCAATCGGATACACAGGACATCTCTGCGCGTCCTTCCAGGAAAAACGATCACGTGGTCTGGCCTCCTTGCCTATACGCCATTCAATTTGCAAGTAGGTTTTATTCGATCTCAGACAGGGTAGATAGGGCGGAAAAGAAGTTAACAATAGCTAACAGAGAGTTTATTGCAGGGCTTCTGAAGAACCCACACGATTGCCGATTGACGATTGACGCGATTGAAGTGGTTTCAGCGGGGTTGGAACGATCGGAGCGGCTTTGTCACTGGTTAGCGAGGTTTTAGCTGGGACTTCCCGAAGTGAACGAGTGCCCCTGACAGCTAACTACGTGGGACCAGCACCCGCCCTTGGTTGATGATCGCTTTGGGTTACCAAATCTCCCCCACCTTGGTTCACAACACCACATATCTTCAGTCAGTTTAGTGAAAACCTCTTACTAACGGGAAAATGGAACCCCCCCTCAACTGGACAGCGTTCACTGGCTGACAGTCGCTCTCTTCCTGTACTGGATGTACTGAGTGTAAAACTGAGGCAGTCTTAGTGAATGAACGGTACCACACTGAGACCAGGAGTCAAGTGGGTACTTGGAGACATTTTATCTCCCCAGTATGGGTGTGCTCTGAGCTTATGTGTGATGCATGTTACGGGAAATGGTGGTAAGGTGTGTTTAGTATTAACTAAGTACAGGTGTGGAAACAACGCTCCTCATGGTTGATTTTCAAACGTGAGACGTAAGAGTTCCTCTTCAAAGTTGTGAAGGGCTTATAGTGCCTTAAAAATACGGGTGCATTCGGAACCTATGTGTGACGCATGTTTACGGGTATTGGTGGAGAAAAACATTCATGACTCCTGAAATCTAGAGGAATTACTGACAAAAACAGCAGAGCATCCGCCTGCCTGATGGGTCATGAGTTATTTTCTTGGGTTTCTTGTAAATGCCGGCCTCCTTGGCAGGCTAGTAGTTACACCTTTTCGGGTTATCGGACATTTATGATTGTAGTAGTTTGTGGGTCATCCCAGACAGGCTATGATTGATCCATGTGTGTAGTATTTATTTCTTAATATTTTTGATACTATGTCTCAGTGACTGATATTATTCTGTTGAGTGCTCTTAAGGCATGTGCAGGTGTGGAGTTAGTAATTTCTTAATATTGTGATACTATTTCTCAGTGACTGATATTATCTTGTTGTGTGTAGTTAATACTCCTTAAAATTTTTGTTACTATTTCTCAATGACTGATATTATTCTGTTGAATGCCCTTAAGGCATGTACAGGTGTGGAGTTAGTAATTTCTTAATATTTTGATACTATTTCTCAGTGACTGATATTATCTTGTTGTGTGTAGTTAATACTCCTTAATATATTTGTTACTATTTCTCAGTGACTGATATTATTTTGTTGAATGCCCTAAAGGCATTGTTCATTTATTTCGTAATAATTTTCATACTATTGTTCATCTAATGCTTATGTGCCACTAAGGGATGTGAGATAACGAGGGAACTGTTTTCAGATGAGCTCCTCATTCTGGTGTAAGTAGCACTATGTTACCTTAGTAGTTTCATACTAAGGTTTCATTATAATTGTGATGTCTTATAACCATAAACTTAGTGTAGTATTTAAAGCCATGCTGTGCGCAAATGTTCATTATTGATTGTGTTTTGTTTGGAGGAATAGAAGTGTCATTTACAGTGCGTCTCATTCACCCCAATCACAGGTGCTATCTTCACAGAATATTTTTAGATTAATTGTATTTGTGCTATTTCGGGTTTTTCTCAAAGGTCTAATAAAAACCCCTGAAGATGTGTACCTATATATATATAATATATATATATATATATATATATATATATATATATATATATATATATATATATATATATATATAAATCACTGTAGGTGCGCGTGATCTAGGTATATGTAGTAACCACAAGGAAAGAAGAAAACACAGAAGTTCCCAAAACTTCGTGTAATTCACATCTTCAGGTGAGTGGAACTGTACTCACCCTGAAAATATATATATATATATATATATATATATATATATATATATATATATATATATATATATATATATCTATCTATCTTGATAAAATCACACGGAAAATGGAAACAACGGAGTACCTTAGCTTTCGTCTTTATTCAAGACATCTTCAGAGGCAACTGGATTACATGGACAGAGAGAGGCCTAAATATACAGGGTGACCTAAAAACATGAGGTCAGGTCATAATGATGACATCCACTAATCTCCACACCAACACAACCGTAGAGGAGCTTAAGAGAAGGGTGGTGACGTGACTAGACAGGTCAGGTCAGAAAAAAGGGACCCACAAAATAACTGTCATACATCAAGATCAAAGGTTTTCAAAGCATTTTTAACCTTGGGCCACTGACAAATAAATTTATGTAACATATTATCAGTTTTGAACTGACCATCACTAAGGTTTATTGATTTTAATTCCTTAATCAAACTAGCTTCAACCAGAAGTCTTTCTGTGACACAAGATGATTTGAATACTTCTAAGCTTTTTTCCCAAGCAATGGGGTGATTATTATTCCTAACATGAACGAACAAGGCACTGCTTTCAGATGAAGTTCTGATATTATACTTATGTTGTTTGATTCTGAGCTGCAGTGTTTTTCCTGTCTGACCTACATAATTACAATTACATTGGCTACATGGAATACAATACACACTTCCATTTACATTCAAACTTGGGCTATTCCTTATTAACATATTGGTAATGGTTGAGTCATACTTGAAAACAACATTAATATTTAGAAGCTTGAGGGACCGAACTAACGGGACAAATTCATCACGATAGGGCAGAGTCAAAATATTCTTAAGTGTAGGAACTTGTCTGGTTTGAGAGGAATGAAAGGATTTTTTAGCCCTTTTAAAGCAACGATCAACAAACACAGAAGGGTACCCAAGTTTCTGTGCAATAGAACGAATGTGTTTAAATTCATCGTCAATAAATTCAGAGTCACAAATACGCAGACATCTTAGGAACATAGCAGAAAAAACTGACATTTTGGTACACTGAAGGTCATTCGATAAAAAGTGAATGAAACTGTCTACCTGTGTGGGCTTTCTATATACCTTAAATTTATAGTTTTGGCCATTTCTCATGATAAGCATATCAAGAAATGGAAGGGATTCATTTATTTCTCTTTCAATTTTGAATGTGATACTAGGGACAATATTATTAAGCTTGTCTAAAAATTCCAATGGGTCACTGTTTTTAGGCCAAAGACAAAGAACATCATCTACATATCCTTTCATTCCTCTCAAACCAGACAAGTTCCTACACTTAAGAATATTTTGACTGCCCTATCGTGATGAATTTGTCCCGTTAGTTCGGTCCCTCAAGCTTCTAAATATTAATGTTGTTTTCAAGTATGACTCAACCATTACCAATATGTTAATAAGGAATAGCCCAAGTTTGAATGTAAATGGAAGTGTTTATTGTATTCCATGTAGCAAATGTAATTGTAATTATGTAGGTCAGACAGGAAAAACACTGCAGCTCAGAATCAAACAACATAAGTATAATATCAGAACTGCATCTGAAAGCAGTGCCTTGTTCGTTCATGTTAGGAATAATAATCACCCCATTGCTTGGGAAAAAAGCTTAGAAGTATTCAAATCATCTTGTGTCACAGAAAGACTTCTGGTTGAAGCTAGTTTGATTAAGGAATTAAAATCAATAAACCTTAGTGATGGTCTGTTCAAAACTGATAATATGTTACATAAATTTATTTGTCAGTGGCCCAAGGTTAAAAATGCTTTGAAAACCTTTGATCTTGATGTATGATAGTTATTTTGTGGGTCCCTTTTTTCTGACCTGACCTGTCTAGTCACGTCATCACCCTTCTCTTAAGCTCCTCTACGT